CTTCCACCAGTCCTTCAGTCGCCTTTGAGTTTCTGTGTGATGTACTTAATCCGTTCGTCCGCGTCACGCTGGAATTCTACCACCTTAGCTTCCACGTCCTCGTTTTTCTTCTCTAGTTTCTCGAGACGACTCTCTAACAGTAACACATTCTTCTCAAGGTTTTCTTCAAGGGATCTCACTTCGGACTGTAGCTCTCTCTGTCCCTCTAAGATTTTCTTAAACTGTTCTCGCACAAACGACTCAAAATCTGACCTGGTGTCTGTGTCGTCGTCGCCATTTTCTTCTTCCCTGATGTCGGCAGACGAGCCATGTCTCTTTGCCGCCGCTCCACGCGTCTTCCTCGTACTCATTTCGTCCAATTTTGGCGTGACCACCTCAAGGAATATCTCCTAAACGACGTAGGACCTGCTTTGTGCGCAACAGTCGTCCTTGGGCTCGAATTCCGTTGAAAAGAAAGCTTCTTATCAGGAGCCCCAAACACCCGCCGCCTACTGTCGTGCTGCCATGACGTCACTCTATTCCATATTTTTAAATAATTATGACATAGATATGTTAGGTTTTATTCGACATTCCTTACCAGCCATAATCAGGATTACAGTAGAAGGACCAATCATGGATGAGAACAGCAGGAAGCCTTGGTACATGATGAAGAACTTGGAGACATAGTCGCTCTTGATTTGCCCCCCTCCCCACTTCCGTATGAGATCCAGCTGGTTGGCGATAGTTGAGGGGATCCACCGCCTTCTCTGGTTGAAGAACTCGTCAAACTCCTCTGGACAGTAGGTGCTGTCCTCGGACACAGCCGTGTACTCCAGCCGCCAGCCCTTCTCTACCTGGAAAATCCAAAATACGTTTGTTTGTTTCCTAATAATAGCTCCAAACAGAAAACCCATCACCTGAAAACATGTAGTATATAATAGCGATAGTTCTATACTACTGCATGTATTTGATGTGGAGTGAAGATCTTACTTGAAAGTTCTTAAGACTATGCAAAGAACACAATACAATTCACAAAGACAGTATTTATTTAATTTCTGTATTAATTTTTGATGAGTAATGGCCATGTATCTAATGCAAATAGATAAATAAATAAATATCAAAGCCAATATGAGACATGTATTTATATATTGTAACAATAGCAACAGGAATTCGGAGATCTCATACCTCCATGAAATATATGAGGTTTTCTAAATGTTTTTACACAGTACACTACAGTACACCACAGTGTACACTACAGTGCAGAACAAAATAACACAGGTTTTTGGTTTCAAACACACAGTAGCACATTTGGCCTGGATATGGCCATGTAGGCTTTTCCCAAGGGAGACACACACACACACACACACACACACACACAGACGCGCCAAAACAATACCTCCATTTTTCAAGGAGGTACAAATGTCTCACCATGAGCGTACAAAGCCAGCGGTCCTCTCCCATATCTTTGGTGAGAACTCCTCCCCTTTGCCTGACTGTAGAGGCGTACGTGGCCAGAGTGTCCCTGACAGCCTTACATCTGTACACACTGAAGCAGCCGGGACAACACAGCACCGTGCCCAGGACACTGTTAGCAACCTGGATAGCCAAGTACAAACATTGAACAGTTTAAAACACTGATACTCAGTAGTGATAGCTCAGTATTGTCAGTCAATAAATTTTATATTATATATAGAAACAATTTACATTTGAAACCGCATAATTCCCTATGATGTAACAATGCCTTGTATGTATGTCACAATTACACTACGTTCCGGAATGCATTGTAAACAGATAAAAAACTATAGCTTAAGTGCACTATGAACTATGCAACACCTTTAGTGCACTATGCACCAAGTAACACCTAGCGTAAGTGCACAGTAAACCAGTCAGTATTGCCCTGATGAAGATTACAGAAGGTTATCGAAACGTCGGGTTGAAAAACAATGGTCTTCACGACCAGCCTTTTAAGTCTAGGGGATGAATGAAAGTCAACTTCTAGAGCTAGCCTGTCCTTATCATTAGATCTCCGTCATCATCAGGCAGCTAGAAGATGTGTTAGAGTACATATACACATGGATGTGTTTGTAAACGTTTTGTGAATTGTGCTCACTCCATGGTCCGATTAGGCAAATGAACATTTCTAAAGCTTGATTTGTATAAATTTATAGGCTGGTATTTTCCTTATACGTGGCGTCGGTGGCGCAACGGTTAGAGCGTTGGACTCGGAACCGAGAGGTCCCGGGTTCGATACTCACCGTGGCACGACGTTGTGCCCTTGGGAAAGGCACATTACATGACTTCCCCACCTATACGGCGGAGTGACGCCCACCGAGCCTCTTAGGCTAATCTCTCTGTCAGGGTGCCAAAAACACCTTACGGATTTGGTGCGCCGATATGACAACATCTCATATTGGCCACTGAGAACCGTAACATTTAAAAAAAAACTTTCTTACCTTCTGAAACCAGTGCCCAATCGCGTAGTCGAAAACTTGGTACCAGACCAGGGGACCCTCTCCCAGCGGGTGTGTCCGGGCGCACACGGCGCCCACGTCAGGGTCTGTACACATGATCTCCATCAGCGCCTGGGCGTCCTGCGGGGAGAACTTGATGTCCGCGTCTGTGGCCAAAATGTAGCTGTCTCTGTCTAAGTCTGAAAGAAAGAGAGATAAATGCCGTTTGATCTTCTTCTCATCATCAGCTTGTCTGTTTAGATATTTTTGCCACCATTTTTAAAAGCATATAT